AAAGTGGAAGATTTGGTTGGTTCGTTGGAGGCGCATGAGATGAGGATTGTTGAAAGGAAAGGAGTTCAGGACTCGATACAGGCACTGCAAGATCAATCATGGAAAAAAGATGGTGGTTCCAACAAATTCAAAGGCAAGTTCGACAAGACTCATGGCAAGAAGTCTTGGTCAAATTCCAATAAGAATAAGGTCGAAGATAGGTCTTCTGAATCCTCGAAAAGGGGAGGAGGAAACTATCGAAAGGACAAAGAAGATAAGAAAGGTATGCAGTGTTATAACTGTGAAAAGTGGAGACACTTGGCCAAGAATTGTTGGTAAAGAAGAGACAAGGGATCGAAAGGAAAGGACGAAGGAGCGAACCTTGCACGCCAATATTCAGATGATTCTGAAGGTGGTATGATGGTTATGGCTGCAGTTGCAGATAACCATGTTGAATCTAATATCTGGTTTCTCGACTCAGGTTGCTCGAACCACATGACTGGTTGAAAGGAGTGGTTGGCAGATTTTGACGAGTCGAAGAAGAGCAAGGTAAAACTTGCTGATAATAGTTAATTGCAAGCAGAAGGTACTGGAAACATAGTCTTTCAAATGAGTAATGGAGGGAAAGCTATGATCAAAGATGTGCTCTATGTACTTGGAATGAAATGCAACTTGTTAAGTGTTGGACAAATAGTTAAAAAAGGTTTCTCAGTTGTCATGAAAGATGGAATTTTGAAATTGTTCGACACTAAGAACAATTTGATTTTAAAATCTCCATTGTCGAAGAACAGGACATTTAAGACTATGATCAGTTCGACAGAAGTTCAATGTTTGAAAACTATTGTCGACCACAAAGGTTTGGACATTTGAATTTTTGATCACTTAATCAACTGATTACTCAAGATATGGTTACTGGTATTCCAAGTCTTGAGATTCCTGGAAAACTTTGTGAAGGTTGTTTAGTAGGAAAGAAATACAAAAATTATTTCGTTTCGAGTATGTCAATGAGATCATCTTGCATTCTCGAAGTGGTGCATTTAGATGTATGTGGTCCATTTGAAGAACATACAATTGGTGGAAACAGATATTTTGTTTCCTTTGTCGATGAGTTTAGTCGAAAGCTGTGGATCTATGTGATCAAACAAAAGGACGAAGTATTCGAAATCTTTAAGAGATTTAAGATACTTGTCAAAAACCAGAGTGAGAAGAAGATCAAAGTTCTACGAACAGATGGAGGTGGCGAATACACATCCAAGATGTTTGAAGATTTTTGTGCAGAACATGGTGTTGATCATGAGGTAACTGCTCCTTAAACACCTAAACATAATGGAATTGCTGAAAGAAGAAGTAGAACTATATTAGATAGGAAAAATGCATGCTGAAGCAAAAGAATTTGCCAAAATCTTTACGGGGAGAAGCTGTTTCGACTACAGTTTATATTTTGAATAGGTGTTCTACTAAGATATTGAAGAACAAGGTTCCTGAAGAAGTGTGGAGTGGCAAACGATCATCAGTAAGTCACTTGAAGGTGTTTGGCTCTATATGTTACAAGCATGTTCCTGATGCAAGGAGAAGGAAGCTTGATGACAAGAGTGAATCTATGATTCTAGTAGGATATCATAAAACTGGTGCATACAGATTATTCAATCCAGTTAATGAAAAGATTGTGTTGAGTCGAGATATTGTGATTAATGAAAATTTTGCCTGGGATTGGAATTCTAGCAATTCAATTAACAAATCAGTAATGAACTTTGATTTCGACGAAGAAACTAATGAAGTAGAGGTCGAAGGAATTGTTGAGAATCCAGTCGAAGTCGAAGAAGAAGCGGTTGTTGACACTCCCGTCACAGTCGAAGTCGAAGAGGTTGTGGCTGAAACAAGCCAAAGACCTCAAAGAAATAGAGTTCTTCCAACAAGACTTCATGATTATAAAGTGATGGGTGATGATGAAATCACACCAGATGGAGAATTAGTTCATTTTGCTTTACTTGCAGGTGCTGAACCAATCAACTATAGCGAAGCTTTAAAGATTAACAAGTGAAAGTTAGCTATGGTCGAAGAGTTACAGGAAATCGAAAGAAACAACACATGGGAGTTATTCGAATTGCCAACACATACAAAAGTTATCGAAGTAAAGTGGGTGTTCAAGTTGAAACACAATGCAGATGGGTCAATAGCAAGACATAAAGCAAGATTAGTAGCTCGAGGTTTTCTTCAAAGAGCAGGACTTGACTACTCTGAAGTATTTGCTCCAGTAGAAAGATTAGAGACTGTTTGACTAGTAGTAGCATTGGCATGCAACCAAGACTGGTCAACATTTCATCTACATGTGAAATCAGCATTTTTGAATGGTCCTTTAAACAAAGAAGTTTATGTCACACAACCTCATGGGTTTGTGATTCAGAAGGAAGCGAGTAAAGTATATAGATTGCACAAAGCGCTCTATGGCCTCAAGCAGGCACCTAGGGCATGGAATAAGAAGATCGACTCATACTTAGTCGAATTAGGATTTGTCAAATGTAAATCAGAGTATGGTGTCTATGTTCAGGTTGTAGCACAAGATATAACAATCATTTGCTTGTATGTTTATGACTTGCTAGTAACTGGAAATAGTTTGGAGAACTTGTCGAAGTTCAAAGAGCTGATGACGAAGGAATTTGAAATGTCGAATCTAGGAAAATTGTCTTATTTTATAGGCATGGAATTTCAAATGTCGAAGCAAGGTATGGTGCTACATCAAAGAAAGTATGTCAAAGAAATACTCAAGAGATTCATAATGGATGATTCGAATCCTGCATCCTCACCTGTCGAACCAAATGTGAAGTTGGAGAAGAATGGAGAGGAAGACAAAGTTGATGCAACTTTGTTCAAGCAAATTGTGGGATCTCTGAGGTATGTGTGCAATAGTCGACCTGATATAGGTTTCACAGTCGGATTAGTAAGCAGATATATGGGTGAACCAAGAGTGTCACATATGAAGGCTGCAAGAAGAATCCTTCGATATTTGAAGGGTTCAATAAATTGTGGATTACTATTTCGACGAGATTCTGAAGGCAAAGAAGCAATAGTTAATTATTTTTCAGATGCTGATTGGTGTGGAGATAAGGAAGATCGAAGAAGCACAACTGGATATTTCTTTCAAGTATTTGGTGCCCCAATCTCATGGTGTTCGAAGAAGCAACCTGTGGTGACATTGTCATCGTGTGAAGCTGAATATATAGCGGGATCCTATGTTGCATGTCAAGCAATTTGGATCAGATCTGTACTTGAAGAAATGACTGTCGAAGTGAAGAAACCTCTAGTATTGCAAATCGACAACAAGTCAGCCATAAATCTGGCGAAGAATCCAGTTCTGCATGGAAGAAGTAAACATATTGAAGCAAGGTTACACTTCTTGAGGGAAAAAGTAAATCAAGGTGAACTTGAAGTTAGGCATTGCTCAAGTGAAGCACAGTTGACCGACATTTTCACCAAAGGATTGAAGATCGACAGATTCCCGAATTTGAGAAAGAAATTAGGAATGGTTCAGATTGACTATTTTTGAAGATGTTCGACAACTTGAATTATGGAGGTGTGTTGAAATATTAAATTAGATTAGATTAGATTTGATTAGATTTAATATTAATATAATCCAAGTTGTGTTAGCCCAAGCTCAATTAGAGTTGTATATAAATAGTCACAGTGTGTATCCTTATTTGAATATTTGAATAATACAAATCCTTATTTCCTTTATTATTCTCTCTTTCTCTCCTCACTAAAAGTATATCACACACTAACAATTAAAACCTTCAACCCCACCATCAATCGATTGAATGTCTCTCCATCAAAGTGAACTACCAATCATAAACGGTCCAATATCATTCCCCTGAACTTACAATCCAATATTTTAACCCAAAATTTGTCTTTTTCGTTGAGAATTTTCCACCTCACTTACCCAATAAAACTGAATTAAAGACCTTTAAGTTTTTTAAGTCCAATCCCCATCTTTCTTATCTCGGCAGACCTTGTCCCATTAAACCCTATTGATTTTCTTGCTTTCTACTTATAAGATTTAATTAATGCACGTGAAAATTGACCAATTAATTGAGTTCGACAACAAATGTTATAACGAGTAAAAGATTGAACATGAAATGTTGCTTTCAATGTTGCTTTCGTACACTTTCAACCGTTGATAGGTTATTGTCAATACTCCATCGTTGAATGCTGAGGCAATTAAAACATGAAACATAAAAAGAAAAAACGTATATGTATATAAATGAAGTAATAAATCTCAAAGTGATTGGCATTTAATTCAGTCTTAGACTAGAAAAGTACAATATGCTCTAGAAAAAGTTATTTAGAAAAATAGTCAACCCCATCAATTTTTTTTAAAGAAGCCAAAGGCCCTACCTCCTATATTTTGAGAATTTTTGATTTTTTTTTATAAGAGAGATTCTAAATTCTAAATAAAAAATAATTACAAAAATTATGGAAATTAAACCTAACCCAACAAAATAAAAAAGAAAAAAGAAAAATAATTACATAAGAATAACTTGAAAAAATTCAAAACTAAAACTGATCAAACACCAAAAAGAAAATGAAAAGTCAGACTAACTAATCAAATCGTGCACAAATATGTAATTTGGATTTGCATATTTGTCTGTTCAAAACCAAGCTGTACTTGATTAGTTGTCGATGGCGTGTGAGTTTTCAGACGTGTTTCTTGATGAGATTACAGATGTGTTTCCAGAAAGAGAAGTCAAGTTCTCCATTGATCTTATACCAGATACCAGATCTATTTCTATGGCATCGTACAAGATGTCGGTGTTGGAGTTATCAGAATTGAAAAGCAACTAGAAGATCTGTTGAAAAAGAAGTTTGTGAGACAAAGTGTGTCATCTTGAAGAGCTCCAGTACCATCTATCATATAAAAACTTTAATGATTCTAGAAAAGACATAAATACCCTTGCTACTATCACAATGTGCCACGTCTTCTTTTGAGAACTATCTATTATGCCTCATCTGTTTACCTCAACCTAACTATGCAATTCAAAAAACAAATTTTTCTTCCCCCCAAATGCTTGCTGACGTTCTCTCACTTCCTCTTCATCTTTATTCTCTCTTCCTCTATCTCTGTCATCATTTTCTTGCCTTTCTGTATTCTCTCTCTGCATTTCATCTCTTTCTTAAATTTGTTCAAATCTCGTCTTTGAACCTGACCAAATTTTCGTCGAAGTTGTCAGATGCGTTTGAGATGGAAGATCTGAAGTGTAAAATGACAGTGGCATTATGGTTCTGCGTGCGAACTCATGGTGACTATCTGTTGATGATAGGGGTGGCGCGATTGAAGATGGCAGAGTTTTTGTGGTCTGAAAAGGAAATCGAACAACAGTGGTGTGTGATTCAGTTTGCGGTAGTGTGATGGTCGATTTGAGTGAAACACGTGTGTGACACAGGTAAACTCAGATTTACTCAGTTTCAGACCATTTTTTCTTCTCTTCCTTGGTTTGTTTAAATCTTCTGGATTTGGTTAGTCAGGCCATTTTTGTTGTTAGTGTTGTGTTGTGTTGAGTATGTTTTTGTTGTTGATGCGGTTTTTGTTGTTTGAAGGTCATGAAATATTGTGGATGACAATAAGCAATGTTCAGGTGTTAATAGGAAGTTTCAATTGCTTGCAAGGATCTGATGGATGAATTTGAATTTTGTTTATGTTTCAGGTGTCCTGTTTCCAGTGTCGGTATAAATTCGATTTTTGATTTTTAAGAATATCTGATATTTAGATTTTTGGCTCTGATATCAGATCTAGATGAGAGAAGAAAACTTTGTAACTGCAATTTCAGATGTTGAAGTAGAAAAGAATTTGGAACATTCACTGACTCTGAGCATCTCATCGGTGATGACAATAAGAATTAGTTTTCCATAAATCCTATCAACACAATCATCGGTTTGTTATTTTTTATATTTGTTCGATCTACTCAATATTATGCACATATGTTGTTTCTCGTTTTAGTTTGGGGTGAAAACAAAATTCCTATCCTGGTTTTTCATAATGGGAGAGAGTTATGACTTCTAATTTCTAACTAAATTAAATCACAAATAATGTTGAAACAAAAAGAACCTGAAATGAAGCTTTGATGTTGCTTTAATTGGTTGGAGTCACTTAATCAACCTTCTACCGATACTTGTTTAATTTGCTTTAATTTATTTTTGTGAATTTTTTCCTAATTGCGATGATTTTGTGTTAATCATAACTTTACTATTTAAGTTTTATAGTTTCATGGTTTATTATTTGGCCTGGCTGAAAGCTCAATCCCCTAGTTTACATGACTCGTATTTTTCTCTCTAATTGTCTTAATTAGGATAAGGTTTTGAAAATAGGTATATATAAAGATAATCTTATTCTCTCTTTGTTTTCTATTTTAGCTACGATAAATATTATTGTGTGTGTATTATGATTCAATGATGTTGATTTATATCCTACTTATTTTTATTAGAGATTTATTATTTGAAAAGTGTGTTTGATGAAGTGTGTTTCTATTAGAAATTGTAAATGTAAATGTTTCTAAATTTGTGTATTTTTTCTAATAATATTAATAATAATAATAATAATTTATTTTTGTATTTTTTGGAGCTATATAATGGTTAAATATAATATAATTGATATATCTTTTAAAAAGAAAATTTTCGATAAAGATGAAAATTGTATGGCTTCAACATCGATACTTGAGAAGTAAGTTTCTGATGATAAAACAATTCAATTTCAATCAGATGAGAAACTCCGTAAGATTCAACAAGCCATCATGGAAAAATTTGATATCAATCATTTAGAATGTGATTCGGGTAAACGTCTCCAAAGTTGGGAATGTCTAGTAAATCAAAGAGAATAAGTTCGAAGATCTTATCTTAATTAGGATTCCTGATCGTGAAAATAGCAAGTGTATTATTTTGTCTCTTGTAATAACAGGGAAAATTCCCCAAATGTCGATCTCAAGGACTGCACAAAATTACCAAGGTTAATGCGAGGTTCGATTAAACAAAACTCAATTTGGGGTTTAGTTTGGTTATTATACTTAACAATAATTAAAAATATGCGAAGGTAAATTATGACCTTTTTTCCTAGTGTGAATACTATGTTAGGGGTAAGTGTGTGGTTTTCCCTATAATGACCTTCACTATTGATCTCTTCTACAAATTCATTACCTTTAACTACCGACCCTTTAGATTATTTTCCTCTAAGTCCTTAGTGAGAAAACCTTTAACCATCCATCCTCAATCCTAAATTCTTAGAAATATCTGATGGAGTCAAGCCTTTATCTTATCAAAGATTAAATCCGGTGACTATAGGGTATCCCTAGTCCTAGATGATATCTACTATAGCCTAATCATACAAAAACCTTAACAACTGATGTGCAACTGGTTGCTAACCGTAACACAATCCTAATTGGTCCCAACAGTAGAGCATTAGAAACCTTGAACAATTAAATTGAAAGGAAACTATTGTATTAAAATCAATATTTTATAGTCAATACATTCGTAAATCAAGGACACCCCCTAGCATTGGGGGGTTTAGCTGCACATAATATTCAAAGAGATTTCAATAATAACAACGATAGATATTACACAAATTAATGGTGAACTCTGATATTCAATTGCTTCCGCTCATGAAAGGTCTTCGTTCTCCCAAAACTTGCATAGACTTCAGTCTTTTATCGTCAAATTCTCTAGTCGTCAAAAGTCCCTTTTTTCTTCTCCAAATCAAGTATTTATAGTGTCAGATCATCCCTTTATGATGCCAAATATCTACAGTACCCTTAATGATCTAAGAATACAAGAAAAATCTCAAAATTGGACTTTCACACGCCTAAGCTGACACGGGCCGTGTCACCGAACACGGGCACCCATGTTAGAATTCGTGCTTTGCTTTGTTCCATCATTTGGCCCAGCTGAATTGACACGGGTCATGTCAGTGGACACATGCACCCGTGTCAGCTCCTGTGATTCTTCCTCCAACGTTCATATTTCAGCTGACTTGACACGGGCCGTGTCCTATGACACGGGCGCCCGTGTCACCTTCTGTCTTACTCTTTATCTTCACTTTACCAAGTCCTCCCCCTGACATGGCCCATGTCAGGCGACACGGCCACCCGTGTCAGGGCTCCTGAAACCCTTTTTTCGAAACTCTGACTTCTGCACCTTTCTGCCCTGATTTGTCCTGTTTTATTCTTTTGAACCTGAAAATAGTTAAATACAAAACCAAAGCATAAAATGTGGTAAAATGAAATAAAACATCATTCAATTAAATGAAATGATAACTAAAATAAATGCTAAATTCCTGTGTAAAAACATTGGTCAAACTCCCTCAAACTTAAACCGTTACTTGACCTCAATCGACCATTACAAGAACTCATGAAAATCACAGTAGCCCGATACTCATACGTGAGACATCCATTCAAATTAATCAAAAAATAGTTCGTCTGATGTTCACGTGACGCGGAGAAATTGCTTAAGAATCTTTAACTTTAGAGTTTCTTCTTCAGATACCTCTCTAACTATGCTTTGTACTTAAGTCTCTTTTTTATTTTCCTTCTTTTTCATTCGGACAATCAAATTAAGGAAATGATAATTATTGATGATCATCACACGCACAAGACTGATTAAGAGAGATATTTGCTCAGAAACCAAATAAGAGCTTTTGGTCCTTTATAAATTTCGATGAAATTTTCAAAGCTTTGCAGTTTATGTATTATCCTTTATGGATGACGTTTGGGGATCAACCCCCTTTGGGATGAATAACCTGGTGTTGTACCCCAAAATTTGCCCTCTCATATTTCTCAAAACATTTCAAGAAAGATCTCCAAGTTGCTCAAGGTAGCCCAAGGGTTGACCAGACAAGCTCTCTCCCAAAGCAGTCTACTCAAATTAGGGTTTCATGTTGCATCAAGATCCTTGAGTCCAAGTGACCCCAAGTTCTCACCAATGTCCTAATATATTCTCAATATCATCCATGTGAAGTTTCAAGCCTTGCAGAGAAAGTTTGCTCAGTCAATTGCTCAAAGGTCCAAAAATCGACTATGTTAGGGAAAAAGTCAATTGTGGCCCACATACAGTCAAACTTCAAGATTTTTGGTCAAAATCCTCATTTTGAAGTATATTTCATCATTTTATCAAGGGTTGATCATGATTCATCAAGGATTGCTCACAATTCATCAAGATTCAAAAGTTGCTAAATTAGGGTTTTGTAGGAAAAGTCAACCCAACTTTGACCAAGCATAACTTTATCATAATTTATGAGAAGTGACCCATCCAAATATAATTTTGAAGAGGATGCAATTTCCTACAATCCATCTTCAGCTCCCAAGATCAAAATATGCACTCACAAGAAGTTATGAATTTGGACATTATAGGTCATTTTGAAAAGTCAACAAAAACACCTTTTTTGTCAAAGCTTCATACCAAAAGGGTTGCTTAGAGGAAATCTCAAGCTTTCCAAAAAGCCCAATAACACCTCCAAAGGTTCAAAATTGAGGATGTTATGCATTGTTGAAGTTGACCCTTTTTGCAAAATTACCAAAAGTCAACTATGCCCAAAACTTCAAATTTTGCCAAATGGGCCCATTCTTTTGCATTTGTTTTGAGTTGGCATTATAGCCCACGTGCTCTAGCCTTGGCCATGTTTCCATATCATATTTTTATTAATTGTTTTGATTTTTATTTGAATTAATTTGAATTAAATCAAAACAAATCAAATAAAATCAAAATTATTGAAAACCAAAGATCTTTTGATGATTTCAGGTTTCATTGGACAGCTAGCACCATTCCAAATTCATATCAAGGCAATTGTGTACAAAAAGATTCAAAATAAGCCAATTTTGGAAAGCTTTAAAGGAGGATCAAATCAAATATCAATTTTATTGAAAGAGGAAGATTTGGGCAAGGCAATCAACCCTAATGCATTGTGTGGTACGTAAGCGTTACGTGCAGACCAAAAGCAGGGTTAGAGATCAAGCATAGAGTGAAAGAAAAATCTGAAAAAATACCAAAAAAGTGTGAGATCGAAACAGGGCTTAGAGGCATCCTCAAGGCTTAGCACTTGTCCCAATCGTCTCCTGGCAATATCCACAAGCGAAAGCAACCAAAAGAACATGTTTCCAAACCCTCCCACGCGCTGTAAGTCACTCACGAACCCTCCCTGTTCTTGATTTCGTATTTTGAAAATTAGGCATTGTTAACATGAATTGATGGCATATTCTGGATCACCATATCATTTGCAAGCTTTTTTCAATAACCAATTTCATTTATATGATCTATATCATGGATCACCATTGCTAGGGTTTTGTGTTTGGTTTTAGGGCTTTTTGTTTCAGGAAAAATTGGCCCTAATAATGGGCATGGTTGCAATCAGGAGGATGAGACGACCTCAACCATGGTCTTAGAATTCATTTTCATGGCCTGTACGAGATTTTGGAATGGACACGACTTGTAGTGACGGCCAACGTCCGTAGGTATAAGTGTTACAGATTTTTAGCTACGCAGGGAGCACAGGGATGATGCGTTGGCACTCCCCCATTTGTCCATTCAAATAGCGCGCGGTTTTTTTATTTTTCTGGCCATTAGCTTTTGTTTTTTTATATTATTATTGCATTGTATTTCATTAACAAATAGAACCACATGGCCTAGTGGTTGCCACGCATGATTTCAGAGCATTAGAGGCTGGAGGTCAGGGGTTCGATCCCTGCCTCCAGA